GAGCGTGACCCTCGCTCCCGCAGCCATGGGCTTGGGATGTGAAGGCACCGTCGGAGCATTCAAACTTTATGCGTCCTCATCAGGGTCAGATGGCACGTCTATACTCAATATCATCCAGGTAGACTCCAACAAAGAGAATCTCATTTATGGCATTACCGTACGTCTGGACTCCGTAAATAAGCTTTACTCTCCAACTATGTGCTCAACTCTCTAGACTGCCACTGCTTCTGTGAAGACTCCGGATCACTGGAATTTGAATAGCTCTGTCTTGAGCCCTATATTCTCGCCCCCCATCTGGTCGTCCAATTGTCAGTAGGGAAGTCACATCTGGCCAAGTCCAACTTATCACCCTAACGAAGCCTGGTGAACCCATATATTGTGCAAAGGTGAATATCTTCCCCTTTCAATATTCTAGATGAATTGACTGAGATGTACAATAGAGCTATCCAACATCTGACGAAACTACACGCAAACTGCTCTCAGTTAATGGACACACAGATCTTTTCTCCCTTTGCAACAATCTCGCCGATCAAGGTCCCGTTTACCGTAGAGACCTATACTACAATATGACTTCACCGGCAGCCGCCCTCCAATGTCAACGTGTTCTTTTGACTGTTAAGGAGATTTATTGACGCCGTATGCATTAAATTGGCGCCTTTATGTTGTAACACTCTCCTTGATGAAATCGAACTTGAATGTTTAGCATGATTTTTGGCCTATTAGACGAAGACAATGATTTACAAAAGTGTGACAGAGGGTAGGGGCGGGTCGACCGAAAACAGAGGAATAATGAGAAGTTTTACAGGGAAACACGATACTCCCACCGGCTTGATGCTAGCTTTTTGGTAGATAATATCAAATTGAGTTGGATATGGTACTATGGATGTCCAAGCACACATGGTGAATTCGTTCGGCGTTCCATTGACCGCAAGGGCATAAGGATACTTGGCCAGACCAGAAGCCTAAGGGATGAATGATACGGTTATTAATGTGATTCATGCAGTTTGGTTTCATGGGCGTACCGCTGCGCAATAGATTGGATAGGTGGGTGAGGTCTTTGTAGTGACCAAGAACGAGGGCGATCTATCAGCGTCGACAGGCAAGTCAAGCT